AGGAGCCTCACACAGATCCCATCCATCACCTCAGCACAACATAAATCCTACACACCAATCCCTGCTTTACAGGCCTGTCTGCACACTGCTGGCTGCTTCCAAGCTCTGAATCTCCCATTAAAAAAGGTGGGGAAAAGAGAAAGAAAGAGAGGAAAAGAATGACAAGGGCCCTGCAGAGCACAGGGAAAGCCAGCAGAGCAGCCAGGGTGGGCCTGGAACGCCGGGACTGCCTCGCCTCTACATCTTCCATGGAAAAAGGGATAATCCAGATTTGACCTAAATGCTGCAATCTCTGCAAACACAGAGAAAACCTACACAGCCCCCCAGTCCAAAGGCATCAGCGAGCAAACCAACACCCAGAATCCAGCAAACAAACCCAGCTCGCCTAAATGGAACCCCGGTGTTGGATTTTGAACTCCTTCCTGCCCCACACACCTCCTCCCCCAGTCAATATTTCATCTCCCTCAGAGCCTTGTCCAAACACTCCTAGAGCTCTGGTAGCCCTGGGGCTGCGTCCACTACCCCTTCCATGGAAGGGAGATGATGGGACAACTTCAAATAAACAGATGAGAACTGCCAAAGGTCCTGTACTGGCAAGCACAGCAGTTTGCAATCACCAGGACAAGGCTGCTGCCATCAGAAGGAGGCAGGAAACTTCTCTCATCCCATGAAAATTCAAGGAACCTTCTCTCAGTCCATGAAAATTCAAGGTAGAGTTTTTCATGCTGAAGATATGGAACTACAGGTCATTCCATCATCTGCAGTGTTTATTGCTGGTAAAGGCTGCAAGGACGACCAGAAGCACAGAACAATCTCTAAATATGGAGAAATGAAACGAGCTGGGACACTTCTTGTGGGAAGAGAGGACTGAGAGAGGATGTGACAGACATCCAGAGTCACACAATCCCAGACTGGGTTGGGTTGGAGAAGACCTTAAAACCCATCCAGTGCCACCCTTGCAGTGGGCAGGGACACCTTCCACTAACTCAGGCTGCTCCAACCTGGCCTTGGACACTTCCAGGGATCCAGGGGCAGCCACAGCTTCTCTGGGCAACCTGTGCCAGGGCCTGCCCACCCTCCCAGGGAAGGATTCCTTCCCAAAGGACACAAACAGCCAGTCCTCCCCATGCTGGGGTCAGCTGAGCTGCTGAGCAGCCCAGAGGGGGCTGCAAAGCCCAAGAGCTGCTGTCACACGTCTGACAATGCCAGGGAAGAGAAACCCAGGAGGGGTTACTGAACAGGAAAAACCCATTCCCAGCTCACGCCATCCCAAGCCCAAACATCCAAAGGGGCTGGGAAGGAGAGCTGTGGTGCACACATTTGTGCCCAGGGAGAGGGCCCTGCTGCTGTGCTCCTGAGGCACTGGCTGCAGACAGCTCCCCATGGACCTCCAGCCTGGCAGCCACAGCAGCTGCGACAGTTCAAAACCTTGAGGGAGAAACCCAAACCCTACATCTGTCAGTAAAGAATCCCACATTTATTTAGTGCAGGAACCCTCCATTTATTTAGTTTAGAAACCCTACAAGTACTAAGGGAGAAAACCAAACCCTCCCTCTGTTGGTGAAGAAGCCAAACCCTACATGTGTCGAGTGAAGCAGCTGAGGATTCAGCTCCGACCCCGAAGCTGGGGCAGCCCTGCTCTGTTAAAATCCTTTCTGAACAAAGCAGACACAGGGAAAAGAGAGCCAAGCAAAGAGCTAGGAATTGTTACTTGCCTTCGTCTAAAGGACACAAACAGCACTGAGACATGTCCTGGTGCTGGGGGTGAGAGTTTGAGTCATATGGAAAAGGAAGCGAAATCCAGAAATACTTGAGCAAACACAGATCAATCACTCCACACTTATTTTTGCCACAAAGCCCCCACAAACAGCACAAGTGACAAAACCCCTCACAGAGACTGTGATTTTTTTCCTGTTGGGATTGAAGATCCTCACAGAAGTGGTCTGGGCATCTCTGCCCTGTTCTAGGCCCAGCTCACATGACCCTGGGATTGTCACCATCCCTCTAAACTCAGATTTTTTTCCAAGTTCAGGTCACTGAATGCTATTTGTGCTTGTTGCACTTCATTTACACCACCCTGGCAGTGCTGTTACACCTTGAACGAGGCTTAAAGACCCCTCGAGGTGCAGCAGACCAGAACCTTTTCAAAGATGAAAAGCTCAGGCACAAGAAAAACTCATGAAAACAAGGTGGAAGCAGCAGCAGCAGCAGCGGCTGCAGAATCTGCTCTTCCCAATTTGTCTGTGCCACACACGACCGAGCAAGGAGAAAAATCCTCTTCAGCTGTGAAAGGCAGAGATAGAACCTGAAATAATTTACAAGCTCAGAAGCACAAAAGGTTTGTTTGACCAACTCATCAAAGCACAGACGTTCTCTGACGGTGGCAACAGGCTCGGGGAGGAGCTGGGGGAGGTTTCTTTGTGTTGTTGTTGTTTCCCCCCACGTGCACTGGGGGTAACAAGGCAGGTTTTGGGGTGACTCCAACAGCCCTGAAGCTCCAGGTCCCCAAGCTGGGACACAAGACCCCAGAACAGGCCGTTTCCCTGCTCTTCACATCTCAAACAGTGATGCACACTCACAGCACCCTCCCTCTCCTCCTCCCCAGCCCCACAACAAACAGGTATTTACATTTATTTAGGTCAGATCGTGTTTCCACAGCATTTCCTGGGGCAGGAGGAGGACAACAAGAAGGTATCCAGGTGTCCCCAGGCACCTCCTGACAGGACAGGGTCAAACTCTCCTGCTTTTCCCCCCCAAAAAATGCCCCCAGTTTTGCTTTTTACCAGCATGACTGAAGGCAGGTGAGGTGCCTGTGGGGCTGAACTGGCAGAAAGTTGCCTCTTCTCTTTAGCTTTTTGGTAGGAGGTGGGAGTTTTTCTGTTTGTTTTGGTATTTTGGGGTGGGCATGGTGGTTTTTTGTCTCAGTGCATTCGCTGGAAGCAGACAAGGGATGTTCCCCGCCCAAGGAAGGGGAGCAGTGTGGGATCAGTCAGGAGAAGCAGCCCAGGGGACAGGGCCAGGCTTGATCCCTGGAAGGATCCACAGCACCTCCTGCCTCAGCTCCTCCTCCCAGAGCCTCTCCAGACCAAAGCCTGGGCTCGGGGTACAAACCCACAGGTCGTTAGGGACCTATTCCCACTCACAGTCAGCACTCAGGATGGAAAACACCTGGAATCGGGAGGCAAGGGCACTGCACCCCCTTCTCTATGCGGGTCAGAGACCCAAACCCCCATCAGATCATCCCTGCCCCTCCACACCCTGACAGGAAACACCTCCTGAATCCATGTGGGAATTCCCTGTGCTGCTCCCCCTGTGCCAGGGGGGGCTGCCGGGGCTGGAGAGGCCAAGGGAAGGTGGGACATTAAACGATGTCACATCAGCCGCGGCTCTGGTGGGTTTGGGGGGATGTTGCCATGGCAGTGCAGCTCCTGGACCTCCACGGAGAGAGCTCCGGACACCTTGGGATGCCCATGGACCGTCGGGATGCCCATGGACCGTCGGGATGCCCATGGAACATCAGGATGCCTGCAGAACGTGCCCCCTGCCCCCCTCCAGCCCCAGGAGGAGCTGCGCTCACACAAGGACATTCCCGCTGCCCCCGCTCCAGGCGGGAAGATTCCAGGAGCGATTGCAGCGCGTGCAGCTGCGCCGGGCTGATAGAAACGGCCCCGAAATAGCGCAGTAAATTACAGGGCCTGGATCCATCATCCCAGCGCCGCACGTGCCGGGCTCCCTCCCCGCAACAAAGCCCTGCTCTGCACAGCTAATGAGCAGCGGGAACGCTTCCAAGGGCAGGGAAAGCAGCGGGGCTCGGGGCAGCTTCTCTCTGTATTCTTTATTTCTCGTTTCCCTTATTAACAGCAGAGCTGCTCCATTTGCATTCCCGGTGACAAGCCCCCGAGCTGGCAGGTACAGCAAATAAAGCACCACGTGGGAGTGGTGCTTGTTTATTGATTAAAAAAAAATTATTTATTTTAATGTTTTTATTATTTATTTTTAGAATATTTTTAATTGTTGGGTTTTTTTTGTTATTGCTTTATTGTTTTTATTTTTATATTTTTTTAAATTTATTTTTTTATTTTCCTTATTAACATTAGAGCTGCTCCGCTTGCACTCACGGGGACAATCCCAGAACTAGCAGGACCACGGGTAGAGCAAATAAAGCACCACGTGGTGCTTTTCATGTTATTTATTTTGTCATAATTTATTTTTAAAATTATTTTTATTCCAATCTTTTTCCTTATTTATTTTTATTCCGATAATTATTTATTTTTTAAAAATTATTTATTTTTATTATTTATTTTATATTTTTAAAATTAAATTTAATTTTTTTAAATTTTCCTTATTAGTATCAGAGCTGCTCCATTTGCATTCACGGTGACAATCCCAGAGCTGGCAGGAGCACAGCAAACAAAGCACCACGTGGGAGTGGTGCTTTTAAATTATATTTTACTATTTATTTTAACATTTTTACTATTTATATTTTATTAATCTTTATAATTTTTTATTTTTAACTATTTTATTTTTAATTTTTACCATTTTTTCTTTATTTCTCCTTTTCCCGATTGACATCAGAGCTGCTCCATTTGCATTCCCGCTGACGTTCCTGGAGCTGGCAGGAGCACAGCAAATAAAGCACCACGTGGGAGCTGTGAGATCTCAGCTGGGGGTGCTAAAGTGACCCTTGGTGGGACTCCAGCAGTGATGTCCCCGCTGCCATATGGGGTTTGTGACACTGGACACGGCTCCCACTTGCTGAATTCTCCTGGAGCCAAGCAAGTTGCCACGGTTAAATCCCATCACATCTGCTCCCTGACTGGGCTGGGGCTGAGGGAAAAGCACAGCCTGGAATCTCACTGACATTTTAGCACGGAGAAAAGAGCAGGAGATGAATTTTAGAGGAGGAGACGTGGAACAAAAGAAAGGGAAATTATCCCTTTCAACTCGGAGTCAGTTGAATTCAGTGTAAGCAAAACTGCTGAGCAGCACTAAACAAAGGAAGCAGCTCTGTTTGGAGGGTTTAGGGTCACTCACTGAAGGGAATTACTGCCCCCCTCCTGGAAAGCCTCGGGATTTTTCGGGGAGCAGTAAAGAAAGCCACAGAACGCATTTCATTAGAAAGGAGCCTGTTCATTTACACAGGAAAAACAGAGCTGCTAAATGTGGATGCTTCCAACTTGCACCCATTCCTGTGCAGAGGGAAGCAATGCTGGGCTCCAGGCTGGGATCAGCTGCTGTCAGGCTGAGCCTTAATCTGCCCTCAGCCCATCGTCACCACATCTCACCTCCAGTTGGCTTTCCCCTTTTCCTAAACTCAGATCTGAGGAACTCCAGTGCAACAGAAGGCTGAATCACTGAAAATAATATCAAATCCTCCTTGTTGTGCTCACAGTTTGCCTCCCTCAGCCTTTGGTGCTCACGGGCAAAAAAAACCCACAGGGCACAACAAGGTGTAAAGAATTAAATTTTTGTGTGAGTTTTTAATGAACAATTGAAAGCGAGCAGAGAGCAGAAATTTAGAGACAGGCAAGACTGCCTCGATGCTTTCAGAGCACAGAGAGGGCCTGGTCAGACCCCTCCTCTGATGGGATTTGTGATCTGTGATTGTTGGCTGCTCCTTTTCCAGCCTCCAACGGCCCCATCTGCCGGCAGCAAACACGGGAGGGATCCCAGACAGAGCTGGGGGGAAGAGCTGCCAGTGACACAGGAGAGACCCTGGAAGTGGAGACAAACTCAAGCCATCTCCCAGATGGATTTGACCCTTACAGAGTATCAAATTCCTGCCTTAGACACCAGCCCAACACTCTCCTGTTGAAGGGGTGTTTAATAAGCATTTATTGATTTGTTAAGTGTTCCTTGTTTTAGCTGCAAGTTCCGAGATTCCTGAAGAACTTCCCTGCATCCCTTTGTGTCCCAGAGCCTGGCTGGGGAATATTCAGGATAATAAGAGAGGGCTGAGCTACAGGAAAGGAACTCTGGCCATCCAAATTTCTTCCATTATTCCTAATCTGGTACTCGTGGGGGCAAAGCCCTGCTCTCCTCCAGGGCCCAGATCCCAGCCCAGACCATGCAATCCTGATCTTTGCAGCAAACTCACAAAGCTGAGCTGCTGTTAAAGCTGGGCCTCTCCCTGGATGGGTCTGCAGTGCTGCCCTCGCACTGAGCCATCAGCAGCTCCCACAGCCTTTTAAATTCCCCTCCAGTAACTGCACCTTGCCTTTCCAAAAAGGTCACCTCTCAACCCCCCAGTGGTTTCATGTGAATCCCAGGGTCACCTGGGAGCAAGGTGACCCCCCTGCAGCTCTATCCAAGGAGGAGCTCATTAACTCACCCTGTTCTGCTGCAGGAAAAAGAGACTCTGGGTTAATGGTGTGGCCCAGTGACCTCCCTGGATGCACCAAAGGAGACCAGTGTGCTCACAAAGTGGCTCCAGGCAGGGAACTCCTCCCTGGAAACCACGGAGAGCACCGGGGAGGCCCAGCTAATGATCCACAAACACCTCCTGGGGTGTGTGAGGGGCCCCACAGGTCACCCCAAAGGGATAAATCAGCTCAGGCTTCTGGAGAAGTGCTGCTCTTTCCAGGGAAGAGACCTGGAAGATGATGATGATGAGTATCCAAGGAAGGGGTGGTGAAGCTCAGCAGCAGGACCCTGCTGAAGATAGGGAAGAAAACTCCGGACCACAAAGCTCAGAGAAGGGCAGGGCCCACATCCTGCACAGCCTGAGCTTGGCACTTCCAGAGAAACTCATCACACACAAAATGACAGAATTGCTTACTAAATACAGAGCATCCAGCACAACAAACACCAACAGAGACCAGCCCTGGATTTGGCACTTTCTGCTCCCATACTGGTCAGACTGGTTGGCTTTCCAGAAAGGGAATCACATCCCAGGAAGTGCAAACACCACCAAGGGGGATGTTCCACAGGACTACTGGGGCTTGCAGGGGGGAACTGCTGCTTCAGGTTCTTAAACCTCCCCAGGACTGAGTCAGTCCATCAGGTTTTTAGAGAGTTTGTGCAAACCTGTGTTACCTGCAGAGCTTCAGAGTGAGTTTCTGCCCTGTGAAGTTTTTACACCCACGTGTTGACAGCTTCTATTTGTGATGCACAGAAGGGGTTCAGAAGTTCCAAGAATGACAAGAAAATACACATTCTAAGAAACACATCTGTAAAAATCTTGAACTAGTCAACAACCCCTGTAGTTAGGACAGTCAGTCCCACCATCATCTGCTCTTGGCCAGACACATCTTACTCATACAGACACAGATTTCAGCAAGTACCAAAAGCAGAGAATCACAGGATGGTTTGGGTTGGGAGGAACCTTAAAACTCATCCAGTGCCACCCTCTGCCATGGGCAGGGACACCTTCCACCAGCCCAGGGTGCTCCCAGCCCCGTCCAACCTGGCCTTGGGCACTTCCAGGCATCCAGGGGCAGCCACAGCTCCTCTGGGCAACCTGTGCCAGGGCCTGCCCACCCTCACAGGGAAGGATTTCTTCCCAATACATCCCATCTAACCCTGCCCTCTGGCAGTGGGAAGCCATTCCCTGTGTCCTGTCCCTCCAGGCCCAAAGTCCCTCTCGTGCAATCCATGTGTCACAGTGATGCACAGCAGAGCCTGAGGCAGGTTTCCACGTGTGACAGTTCATCAGTGGCTCTGCAGCTCATGGCCTTGACCCCCCTGGGGGTGCAGGGAAAAATAAAGGTCCCTTCCAACCCAACCCATCCTGGGATTCTGTGTTTCAGCCACTAAAGCCCCTCAGGTTCCCAGACACGTTCCTTCCACAGGGGAAAGAGCGAGTTTTTTGATCAGTAACCAAGAATTCTTCAGGTGCTGGACTCACAGCACATCCCACCTCACCGCAGGCACAGAGAGCACCACCAAAACCAACCTTCAAAAAACCCAGGCCGTGACCAAACCGGCACTCTGGTCCCCTCCACGGGTTGAGCCCGGGAGAGGCAGCAACACTGTTTTAAACAAACCCCTGAGCTGAGCTTTTATTTTACCTTCTGCAGGAAGAGGACGATCCTGACGAGCATCTTGGCGTGCAGGTCCTCCAGGGTGAAGAGGGTGCGGGGCGTGCGGATGAAGAGCTTGGTCTTGCCGTAGGCCACGTCGTGCTGGAAGCCGTGGCACTCGATCAGCTTCCTCACGGCCTCCTTGTCCGAGGGCAGGTCGTGGTTTGGCCACGTGAATTCCGAGATCATCTTGTACCTGGCGTGACGAGGGACAGTTCGGAGATGGGAACGTGTCATTGAGGTCCCCAACGAGGCTGACCTTCCACAGGTGTTAGGAGCGACCGAAACAAACCCTAACAAGACTGACTGTAGGTAGGAGAGCCTCAAAGATGCTCCCCGGAGGGATCGTGATCCTCAAAACCCAAGAAAGATGAACTTAAGGAGATTTTGTGAGAAGCTGAAAAGGGAATGCTGGGAGGAGCTCATTTCATCAGCCCTGAGCTGATGCAACAGGACAAACCTCAGCACTGGCCTCCTGCAGATCTGGCAGTGCCATTATTCACACTCAGCATACAATTTTAATTTTTTTTTTTTTTTTGGGGGGTGGGAAGGAAAGCTTTGGTTCATTCATGGTTCACTCATTTCCTGCATCAGAAGCCACCTGCAACCAATGGCTTCGTCAGAAGACCCGGATTTAAAAATCCTGCACTCGGGGAGCCAAAGTTCTAACAGACTCTGTCTCTTCCCCCAGCAGCAGACCCTTGACTGCCCCAGTCTGTGCAGCCCCCACCACTGCCTGGGGCTGTGGGTCAGTCATTCCTCCCATCCTCCCCCTCCAAACCCCTTTTTCCAACTGCACAAAACACAGCTTGGAACCAAGAGAACTACAAATCAGCCACAAAGGGTGAGGATCAGCCCCCAGCTCTCTGTAAAGACCTCCCAGCCCTGCAAAGTGCTGATTAGGTGAACAGGCCTTTGCAAAAAGGCAACAATGAATTTTCTGCACAAGATTTATGGGCATAATAAAAACCGTAATAGACACTTTCCCTGCGATTGGACCCACGTTCATGCTCTAAATAAAACAGGCACAGAGCAATCTCAGCCACTTCTCACTTAAAAGCCCCCCCGAGCCGAGCCAAGCATTAATTTCAATGTTTCAGACATTCAGAAATCTCAGCCACACTTAAACAGCCACACAGTCAGCTTTTTCCTGGGGGTGGGGGCACTGCAGGAGGTGCTGAATGGGCTGAAAGACATCCCAGTGTCACGTTCATTCATCAAATCAGCCTTTGGAATATGCTGTGGAAAAGGGGGAAAATGGAGGTGCACACTAAACAGGGAATACCATCAGCTCACTGCTTAATAAACAGCCCAATAAAACCCCTGTTCAGACTCACAGAAGAAGACTTTGCATGTTCACTTGGCTGGCAAAAGCATCCCTGCTCTCAAACACCCAGGACATCAACACTGCACACCGCTTCCCTGTCCTGCTGTCATCAGGAAAATGTTCCTGCAAGAACGGATTCACTGGGAAAATCTTCCACCTTGGGACAAATGCATCAGGAAAAAATGAAAAACAAAGAGTCAAGTAGGGTGGGAGTGCAACCCCCAGGGCTGGGAACCAGGGGATGGACCAGGCTGGGAACATGACCATGGACCACGCTCCGAGCCAGGCCCGTCCTGCCAAGGGGAGCAGGAGAAAAGGGATGTCAGAGAACTGAAAACCTGCCCCAAAAGTTAAATCCTCTTCCTCCTTTCCAACAAACCCCCCTATGGCACCCAAAGACACCCCTGAGGCCAATGGCCCCCTCCCTCTGCCCCACAGGTGGGGGGATATCCCGGCACTCCGGCTGTTCCCGTCCCTCCCATGTCTCCCAACGCCACCAACTCCTTCCCCGCAGCTCCAGCACGGCCTGGCTGCCACAGCCACTCACAGCCCCAGCCTGGCTGCTAATTATAGCGAGGCAGAACCCAGAATAAACCTGCTCACTGCCACCACAGCCCTCCCCTGGCCTGCCTGCACATCCCACAGCTTCCCAGGGCACTCACACACCGAACGTCCCTTCCCAGCCACCTCTGTTCTCCCTGACCCTCACTGTGGGAACACCCAGCATGGACAAGGCTGCTCCTGGAGCAAACAACTCCCAGCCCAGCTCTCCTAAGCCAATGAACCCCGAGGCTTTGATGACCAGCACCGGGGCTGCAGATGCTGCTGGGCCATTCCCCCCCTTTCCCACCGTGTGGTTACATCTCCCGGTGTGGCTTCCACGGCACGTGTGACACGGCCTGGAATAGGCACATGTGGGGAAAAGGGTTGGATTACACTCACATCCCCCCCTTCCTGAAACCCAACCAGCATTTTTTGGATGGCAAGTTATATATTAAACCACGAGAATCCATCCCACCCACGGAAGGTTCACAGGTGGCACCCGAGTGGAAGATGCAGTGAAGGCACAGCAACCCCTGACCCAGCTGAAAATATCTAGAGCTCACTTTCTACAAACTGGAAAGGGCAGCCTGGCTTGCACCGAGCTCAAAGGGTTGTTTTTTTTTCACATCAAGGCAAGTTAAAAAGGACAACATCTATTCATTGACTGTGCTTTTACTTCATTCCTGCTGGGAGAGAGGGGATATCAACTACCTTACAGGATTTAGGGCTAAATAGCACCAAACTCTTCTCCTACAGAAAGGAGAGCTGGTTTTTTATGTTTTATATGCACATGGACATACATATAGATAAAAAACCAGGCATACATGCACTAATCTATGTATTATATATGTATGTTATCTCTTATCTATATATAACCTGATCTAGCTCTTCTGTGGCCTCTAAGAGGAACCAGCAACACAAAACCCAGTGATCTGTTCTGGGCTCAGAACACCTGAGAGCCTCAGGGGCCTGTCAGGGAGTTAAATGTTAAATGTCTGTTTGTGGGCCTGAACTTTGTCACATCTTTGTGAATGTAAGCAAACAGATGACAAAGTTACATCTCAAAATCACTCAAGATCTGCCTTAGGACCTACTCCACATGCACTGCAAGAGCCCAGGCTGAAGGGCCTGGAGTCTCCTCCACGTTCCCAGTCTCCCAACAAGCCTGGTAAATGTAAATATAAAGGAACAGAAACCCCGTGTGATCTCTGCTCTAAACCAGCTCCGAAACGTGCAGCTTGTACCACAGATCATACCCCCCAGCCCCTAGGAGGGAATGGCTCACCCAAAGACAAGGAACAAAGAATTCTGGAAGGCAACCCAAAACGATATCCAGGCCAGGAGGCCAGAGGAATATTCCCCCTCATTTTTTAATTCAGAGAAGTCAGTGCAGAGCAGGCTCAGAGCAACCCCCCCCGACACACAAACCCAGCGTCTGAACCCACCCTGGGGGTTTGGAGGTTTAATCCCACCCCAGGGCTGAGCAGAACATGTGTCCCAGCAGCCCAGAAGCTGCAGCAGTTGCCATGTGCTGATTTGGTTTCCTGGCTGCAAACACTTCTGGGCCGCAGCTTACGGGAGCTCATCAAACATTCATTAAAAACAAAGCAGCTGTTTATATTAACAGTGATTACACAGATCTGAGGAGTAAAATTGTAATGGATTCCACATGTGAGGTGAGAGCACGTTCCCAGCACTGCAGAATGTTCAGGGAAGCTGATCCCCAAGCACTGCAGGCTGGATTTAGGAAGCTGGAGCCTTTCGTTCTGCTGTGGGGATCAGGATCTACCCAGGCAAATCTTCACTCTGAGCAGCAACAGATCTTTCACCAGCACTTTGTTTCTAACTCATGACACCTCACCTGCTCAGATAGTTCAATTTTCTTTCTACCCCCGTGGCCCTTTCCTCCCCTGACTCATTAACAGAACTGGAACTCCATTCCCTGTTCCATCAGAGGAGGTTGAATTTGCAGGGCCACTGTCAAATTACTGAAGCCTTAAGACAAATTTCAATCTAAAACATGTCATTTGCCGCAGGTCTGGCAGGAATTAAGGGGGCAAAAAGTATCAAAAACATGCTTGATGGGGTCATGATATCATCCCTTCCTCAGACATCCAGTTTTGAAGTGGTTTCCTCCCGCACAATGTCACTGTGGACCTTCCCCAGACACACCACGTCTGTCTGTCCCTCCCTGCAACAACCCATGCTCAGAGAGAAAACACAGGGTAATTAGCTCAGGTTTTAGGGTTATGCTCTGGGGAAGGACCTCATTACACATTCCTGCTGTGGGGTAACACAGTAAATGGAATTCAGCAGACAAGGGGCTGGGCTCGAGCAGGACACACACCTTGACACAAAACCGGAGCAAGGGGGGGGACCCTGGGAGACCCAACAGCTGATTTACACCAAACACACCCACAGCCACGGGCTCAAGAGTCCCAGAGGATTTGACTTCACTCCAGAGGAGAGCCAAATCCCACTCATTTACATAGATTTACACATTCAGGTTGTATGAAGACTCCTGCAGGGGTGAGATGTGAACAGGGCGGATGTTTTAACGCAAGAAAGTGCATCCAAACACACCAAATGTTTGGGGGTGGGAAAACTGGGGGTTTAAGGATAGGGAAGTGTCAGGAAATAGTTTAATTGAAAATACCAGCTTTGGGAGTTGGGAATAAAGGCTTAATTCCTTTTTTTTCCTGAACGGTCAACTCCAAGAAGGGAGTAGCCTTCAACCTCTGGTCTACAAGACCAAAGCTTTTCATGAATCATTTGAGTGGTTTAGAAGCTGAATATTTTGCTTTCTAAGGCTCCATTGACAGGGAACAGATAAGAAGGGCTGTGAAGTGGAAGAGTGGAAGAGTGTGACATCAAGGAAGACAAAAGTGGGTTTGTTTGGCGGGGATTTTCGGAAGGGGGGAGAAACGGAACAGGGCGAGAACATGCGTTAAAGCAGCTCCCTGAAATGCTCCCGAGGCTCAAAGCCAACAAAACGAAGAAGAAACCAATCAAACACGCAAGGGGCTGATCCATCCCCCTTGCCAGCAGCTCTTACCTGTGCAGGAACTTCTCGTAGGTCTGGCGGTAGGCGAAGCCCGCCCGGCGCACCCGCACGTTCTCCAGCAGCCCCAGGTACTCCACCTGGTGCCGGCACCGCTCCTCGTCGAACAGCTGAGGGGATTTCTTGTCGTTGGGCTTGATGCAGCGCACGTAGTAGGGCTCCTGTGGGGACACATCACACCCAGGGTCACCCAGGAGAAAGGAAGGTCTGAGCACACACAGCTGTCCCCTCAGTGAAAACTCCCCAGACATAAAACATTGCCACGTTGAGTGTTTGGGGTGAACGCAGAAAGCAAGTTCTGAATCCCAATCCTGTGGGAAATCTACAGCTGTATCAGTATCTGCTCCATTCCATCCTCTGCCTTTTCCCTCCTTCCTCCATGCACAATTTGGGAGTTGGGGATAAAGGCTAAAGCCCTTTTCTTCTGAATGGTAAAGTCTAAGAAGGGGGTCGCTTTCAATCTTTGGTCTGCAAAGATTGGCCTGAACAAAACCAGAAGTGAACTGAAACAAACCCCAGATTTTGTAATTGCTGACACTGACTGTGATACATCTCTCCTGCCAAAAGCTAAAAACCATCCTGCAGCTGCATTTGGGCAAACAGAGGTAATACCTGAACGTGTCTGATGCAGTGAAGCTGTTAAAGGAAACAACTTGTAGGAAAGAGATGTATTTACATAGAATAAAGAGCATGAAATTCATTCCCCTGTTGGATATGGCTTTCCCAGCATCTCCTCTAAAAGCATGGATTGCTCCAGCTTTTTCCCAGTATATTCTGAATTGGAAGGGACCCACAAGGACCTTCAAGTCCAGCTCTTCAGGGAACCTGCAGGGACTGAACCCACAACCTCGGCATTATCAGCATCAGGCTCTGACCAGCTGAGCTCATCTCAGTTTTAGCTGTGCTGAACAAAGTCTAAACCCTGTTCCAACATGCCTGAAGGGTGGAAAGGACTGAACTCCAACCTCCTGCTGCCTCCAGCCCTCAGGACAAACACAAACCAGAGAGAGTTCCTCTCTCTGCACCCCCCTGGACGTGCAGGGGGCAGAGAAGGTGGAACAGGGACGGGTGGGCTTTAATCCCGACACAGTCCAGGGGTCCTGCCCCTGTCTGGGCTGATCCTGGATGCTCTGGTGCATCCCACAGGCTGTTAGAGTGTTTTGATGTTTCATTTTTAGTTGATTAAAGGCAGCTTTCAGCTAGGTCATTGTGGTCTGTAACCAGCACCAGTGGGAGGGGTGGCTTTACACTTGGGCACGTCCATCCCACTGGGCCTTGGAGTTCATTCCTTTCTTTCTCTCCACAGCCATGAGATGTCCCCTTTGATGACCACAACTGATAACCAGGAAGGACATTTCAGCAGCTTTGCCCTGGACAGGAGGAAGCTGGGGGGGGGGGCTGTGAAACTGCTCCCAGGAACCAGAGGGAGTTCCAAAGGGAAGCCCCCAGGGAACTCCAGAGGAGTTTGTTTTGTCCCAGCACTCCTGGACAGCCCCAAGAACCCACAATGGTAACAAAGAGTGGTCTGGGCAAGGGAAAAAAGGGGGTTAATTCAGTGAGAACAAATGAAAAGTTCCACATTTAGCAGAGACAGCTGATTAATGAATAATGAAAAACTGATTTTACAAAGAGATGCAGGAGTTTCAAGCTGACACGAGGCAGGTTCATGTTTTTCTAGGAAAGGGCACAAGAAGAGGAAGACTGCAAGACAAAAAGAAACCCAACAGATTTCTAGTTCTCTGAACACCTCACAAAGGGCACTGCAGTTCAAGGGGGAACACTGACTCAGTGCAGGCAAGAACAAGAAAGATAAAAAAAAAATCCAGCAAATGTAACTTAGAGGAAATACAGTTTTAGTCCAGAAGGACCAAGGAGCCACAGAACCATCCTGGTGTAGATTTTATACATTTAAAGGGTAGATATGGGGAAATGTGAACATTTAGTTTTAGGACACAGAAGAACTGGCTTTAACCATGGTATAAAAACTCAAATTACAGGAATCAGGAAAACAAGGAGTGGGAGCAGAGCCTGAGGAAAGGAGGGATTCTCCATCACTAGAGAGAACAGCCTGAACGAGCATCTGAAAGGGAAGGTACAGGCAGAGGTGCCCCCAAACAGGAGGTGAATTGGGTGCACTCCCAGGGTCCCCTTCAGCCCTACTTTCTATGATTTCTCTACGATTTGAGGTCACCTCTCCAATCTCAGGATAATGGGAAAGGCCCGGAATTGCTGTTTCCCTTCAGGAATGCTGAAGAAACACAGGACCACCCTTGACTATTCTGGGTAACCCCAAAAGCATATCCTAAAAGCTATTATATAAGGCACTGGGGAAGGTTTGGGGCTGGAATGTTTCCCAGTTTGCCTTTCTCAAGGATGCCATCAGCAGCATCAGCCTGGGATTTCTCCTGGAGGATTGTCCTTGGGATGGGAACATAAAGCGACGAGGAGAGCGAGGAAAATCTGAGCTAAGCCCCCACAACAAGCTGGCAGCATCCTGGAGCTGCCCACCCTCCAGGAAGCAGCCCAGGAGCAGGGATAGGTACGAGGAATGTGGAACAAACAGCAGGGTGTGTGGGCAACATCCGTCCTTACGTCATCTCCCTTCTCCCAGTAACTCCAGCGCTCCCACAAAGTGTGTCAGGCACAGCTCCTTCCCAGGGGACTGAGGCAGAGCTGGACACAGGGAAACAGTGCCCAGCTCCCCAAAAAACAGCTGAGCCACTGCCAGGGCAGCGCTCTCCTCACTCAGCTCTTCCTCAGGGAGCAGAGGGCTCACAAGAGGAATTCCAAGGGTGCAGCTTTCCCAGGACACTCCAAGGCCACACTGGATGGGGCTTGCAGCAGCCTGGGATAGTGGAAGGTGTCCCTGCCCATGGGATGAGATGGTTGGGCACTGAACAGGCTCCCCAGGGCAGTGGGCACGGCCCCAAGGCTGCCAGAGCTGCAGGAGGGTTTGGACTGGATGGTCCTTGGGGGTCCCTTCTAACTCACAATGTTCAGTGATTCTGAGATGAGCTTTAAGGTTCCTTCCAACCCAAATGATTCCAAGATGATTCCATGATACACCAGGCAGCTCTCTGCTCTGTGTGAGGTCTCCCACAAAGTCACCAGCACAGAGCACTTCCTTCTGCCACGGTAATTCCCAGATCCATGGAATCATTCAGGTTGGAAAAGACCTTTAAGACCATCCAGCCCAGCCATCAACTCAGCACCACCACTGTTTTCACCACTAACCCACACCCACAGGTTTTCTGAACACCTCCAGGGATGGGGACTCCACCACTGCCCTGGGCAGCTGTGCCAGGGCTGGACAACCCTTTCAGTGACAGAAGTTTTCCTGATATCCAACCTAAACCTTCCTGGCCATGTCCTCTTGTCCTGTCTCCTGTTACCCAGGACTCTGTCAGGAGCAGAGCCACCAGCACCAGGTGGTGCCAGGCCATGCCAGACCTGCCCTGGGCTGCTTCTGATGGCAGGAGGAACATAAATCACTTTTTTGAGGTCGATATCACAAATATCCCACATTCAATCCACAGAATTCCAACACCTTGGGAACACAAGACCCCAATTAAAGAATCACAGAACTGGGTTGGAAACTGGGACATTGAAGATCATCCAGTGCCACCCCCTGCCATGGGCAGGGACACCTTCCCCTATCCCAGGTTGCTCCAACCTGGCCTTGGACACTCCCAGGGATCCAAGGGCAGCCACAGGTTCCTTGGATAACCTATCATTAGGAGCATGAAGTCAAGGAAGTGCATCCCCCCCTCTGCCTCGGGGGAGATGGTGTCTGTCCCTCCCTGCTGACACAGGACCCCAGCACAGCCCTGTCAGGGCCAGCCCTGCCACTCAGAAACCCAAAAAAAACCTCCAATCTGTGACTCCAGGTCGGGCACAAAGGGGACCAAATGTGTCTGCTTTTGATATAAAAGGGCTGAAACCCTTTGGAAAGCAGGATTGGGAAGTGCCTGCACAGACAGGAGATCATCTATCAGTGCAATTACAGTGCAATTAAAGCCTCTCAGCAACGACAGCTTCAAGGGTAAATTCTAAAGTAGATTATTCCAGGCTTCCAATCCCCCCCAGCCCCAGCTCTTCAGGGGGATAATTATGCAGCTCCCATTCTTCCTGTCAGAGAACTGCAGTTTCTAAAGGGAAGAGCTGAAATGCAGAGACACAAAGACCCCGCTCTGAGAGCTCTTCAGATGCCTAATTGCAACTCGGTTTATTTTTCAATCAAACCGAGCGATTTTTAGGGTTTTAGGTGTTAAAAAAAAAAAAGAAAACAAACCAGTTTCAAGCCACTGCACACTAAACAAACTCCTCCTGGAGAGGCTTCTTTTCAACAGTTTATAGCTCTTAGATGAGAGAGGGGGACAGGAGACAGGACTGACAAATTTGTGCTGGATTTGTCCCATCAGTCACAGCTGGTGACATTAAAACTTACTGGAGATGAAGCCTGTCAGCCTGGATAGGAGAGGGGAGGGATGGAAGGAAGAGTCAAACAAAAGGAGTTGCAGAGGAGTGGGGGGGAAGAAAAGAACAGAACAAAGGAAGAGATGCATGTCCAGAGAGCTCCCAGAGCAGCTCTGGGGCAGCCACAGGACCCTCCTGTGTCAGGATTTACAAAAAAAAGCCACCCAAAATGATCCTCCTCAGAGAGACCAAATCCTCCAGAGAACAGCACAGAGGCAGGAAAACACGTGCTTGAGAAAAGAAACGTGGCAACTCAGGGAGCCAGTTGGGTTTTCCATCAAAAAAAACCAACCAAAATAAGAGTGTTTTTTTTTTCCTGTCTACCAGAGGTTTGTGCCCAAAAGGCTCTTGGGGTAAGACCTTAAAGGTCTTTTCCAGCCCTAACAATTCTGTGGCTCAGTGATTATTGTCATTCCTGCCCACCAAACCGGCCCTTTTGCAGACTATTCCCCCAAAAGTTTTAAAGGTACTGCTGGTACAGCCAAAAAACCCTTCAGCTTTTCAGGAAGGCCAAATGAGTGGTCAATGAAGAGAAGCTCCTGGGCTGCCATCCTGTTTGGGGACTGTAGAAAACTGAGCATAAAAATATGGTTTAAAGAATTTTCAGGGAAGCATGAACAGCCCAGGTGGAAGGGGAGGCCAGGATGAGGCAGCACCTCTGCCTGCTCTGGGCACACTCAGATAATGTGAATAAATCATCAGCTCAAACTGCAGCAAAACACAAGCCTTTCCTCTTGGATTTTTTTTTTTTTTTTTGAGAAACAGCTGAGCAAAACATGAACTGGTTTTACCTCTCCCTATGGAACCTTATTCCTGTGACACCCCTAAACCACAGCAGCTCACACAGCTTGTGCAAGGCTGTTTTCAGAGCTGTTTCCATCAGCTGTGACCACAGGCTTCCCAAAACAGCCCTGCAGAGTCTGAACCACAGATGTTGTCGCTGTTGCTCCCCACAAGGGCAGCTCCAGCCCCCCAGGTCAGCACGGAAAAAATGAGTAGCAGGACCCCAGGGGAGGGTCAGAACACCTGAACTGCAGTGGTGCTGTCCCCAAAACAGGCAGTGGCTTCACCAGCCCCTGCAGAGGGAAGGGCAGAGACAAAAGGCAGAGCACCCAGGGATTTGTGCACAGCCAGTATCTCAAAATCAAGGCTTGAATGCCCAGTTATTGGCTGGCTAATGACATGCACATATCATTAACTGTCCCCAAAGTGACCTCAGAGAGACCCCCAGGGCAGGGCAGCCACACAGAAGCACTCACTCACTCACTCCCCCTCTGCACTCTGATTTACTGTTTGAAGTGCACAGTGATTGTGTTCAGGAGCCTTATGCAACAACCTCCCCAAAATGAAATCCTGGCTGCAGGATGGGCCTCACCAGTATTTCCTACAACTCCCTGACAGGATTGGGGAGCAGGGGGGGGTCGGGCTCTGCTCCCAGGGAACAAGGGACAGGAGGAGAGGGAACGGCCTCAAGCTGTGCCAGGGGAGGTTTCAGCTGGATACTGGGAAAACCTCAACAGAAAAGGAGGAAAACCCAGATATCTTCAATACAAGTTTCTCAGTGAAGGTTTAGGGAAGGTAAAGAATGGGAAAGGACTACACTGAGACCCAAATTCCTTGTGAATTTGGCCTGCAAACAGCTCCTGGTTATGCCTCGGGACAGGCTGGCATTTGGGAGATAGCGATGATAAATGGTCTGAAAGGAACTCACTCCACACAACCCAGCCAATTCCAGTGAGGAATGCTGGTGCCCACTGCCTCAGGATGGAGAAGGTGCCATTCAAACCCCTCATGCCCCGCTGGGAGCTGCAGGGATTGCTCAAACCACCACAGGGCATTCTCCTGACTATCCTATTTTTACAACTTGCAGGTGGCCTGGAATAATTACTCCAGTGAACAAGGAAATGAAGTTTTTTCCATGGCTACCTGCTGAGCCTCCCTGCTGTCCCCCCTGCTCACAGCCCTTCCCAACAACCCCACAAGGAGAATCTTTTCCTTCCCCACCTGCTCCTTTTCACAACCCAGAGAAACCTCCCTGTGTTTTGACATCTCTGCACCAAATCCAGGTTAGGCCCAGCCAGCAGATTCTTTGGAGGACTGAGAGATCAGGTAAATCCTGACTCCTTGGACACTCAGAATGAAGTCTGCCCCCATCTCCCCATCAGGGTCACAGCCACCTTCTCCAGCCCCAACAGCTCGTGCTTTGCCATCCAGGAAAGCTCCTCTCTGGCTGCTGGGGGAGGATCTCTCTCAGTTTTGATTAGTGGTGCCTGTTTTAGCAAGACCTGGCCCTGGGCTGGGCCAGCAGGGGCCTCCTCTTGGCAGGCCAAACGTGCTGGGGGTTCTGTTCCTCAGTGGGGAGGCAGCTCTGGGGGGCTCCCAGCCCCTCCTGCAGAGCTGCTGCTGCTGCTGCTGCACAGCAAATCCACTCCAGAACGAGACCTCTCCTCACCCTCTGCCACTGCAAAGAGGAGGGAAGAAGGAACTCCCACAGGTCTGGCTGTATTTTCATGGAAACCCATCGGATTTGGGAGCCAGAGAGAATCTCCCCACCCTGAACGACCTCCTCTGGGCCCTCTGCCAAAGAGCTTTGCTAAAGATAATTGTTCACTTGATGTAATAATTATCACCTAAGGCAGACTGGCTTTCCTATGAGTGAAAGCTCCACTGGTCCCAGAGGAACCAGAATTCCAAGTTTTCTATGGGGGGGTGGCAGGTGACCCTCCCTTGAGACCTTCCCAGCTGCCCACGGGCACATCCAAAGCTGCTCTGCCTCTGATCAGCTCAGCTCCCTGACGGATGGCAGAGATGGGAAGGGGGGAGAAGCTTCCCCCCCAACTCATGAGGCAACTCTGAAGCAGAAATCTTTACCTTCAGTGCCAGGTTGTCCACCAGGGCAATCATGGAGTTCTTGAACAGAGTAGCAGCTGTCAGAGGTCTCTTGGTGACCTCAGTGATGCCCAGCTTCCCTTCAGGCCACATCATCTTCAGCACGGGGTTGGAGCTACAAGAGAGTGTCTTTAATTCCCAGTCTAACAGCACTTCCACTCCATTCAAAATTCAGCAGCTCGTTCCTGCCCAGCTCCACTGCTGGCTTTCAGCTCACAGAGCATCAGCCAAAGCACTGTGACATCCCAGGCACAACATCTCCTGCTTCTGAGAGCAAGTTCAAGCTTACAACTGAATATTCTGAAAAAAATAAAAGCAAACCCAAGCAGCACATTCTCTCTTCAGATCAGGATGTGCAGGGATGGGACAGTGACAATCCCTCTGGGGTGATCCATCAAAGGCAGGGTCTGATTTACAGACACAACATAACGAATTTAATCAAAACAGAAGAGAGCAAGACCCACAACATCCTCCCTGGGAAACTGTGACCTGATTTCAAGCCGTGTTTCTGCACCACTCTGGATATATCAAGCAATTTATACACTTTAGCCTATCTTTTTGAAGGGCTGAGGGTGAGGTAAAGTGGCCCTGATGGATGGCAAGTGCTGGGGAAGAGACAGGGACGGAGCTCCAGCAATGCAGTGGCCAATCTGTCACAGCTTTAACGTGCTGCAAATGCTGTTTGGGAACAGGCTTTTCCAGAGCCTTCACAGGAAACAGGCTAAATTTAACAAAGCCTCTGTACAGCAAATATTTTGCAAGGTTTTTTGGTCAACGGGAAGCGTTCAAAACAGGAACAGTGGGGCTGTTCAGGGCAGCACAGAGAGTCAACACCACAGCAAGTTAATACTGCCCAGGTAAAACAGGGTGTTTGTGCCACGGTTATCAGAGCCAGAACATGTTTTTTTAATGCCAGCTGGGAAGGAAAGCAGCTCTCTGGGCACTCACATACACATTCTGATGGGTTTCAAACCTGCTTCTCAGAGGCACCTTTGCCTTGCCCAGCACGTGAGGTCACGGTTTCCATTTTCACGCCACTGCACATACGAAAGGACTCAAATCTATCTGCCCACTTTACCCTGTAATTTCTTTCCAAACAGGGTGTTTTAGCAGAGGGCAAGGATATCTGTTGCTGACCAAAGCTACTCAGCATCCTTAGCACTGATTAAAGCCACAGCAGTGATGGCACATCTGCAACTGGCCCAAAAACCTGGTTAATGACAAATCAGGCAGCACAAGCAATCTCTGCACTACCTTGGTTGCACAATCAGTTGGTTTCAAACCAGCACTTTAAATTTAGTGCAATTAAAGGTTCCATCAGAACCAAACCGACACGTACAGGGACTTTAACCTGCAAAATCAAACTGAGAGCCCTCGGGTCACGGTGGGCGGGCAAAGATCAGATCCCCAAGCAGTGTGTTTATTCACACAGAGACAGTGAAAAGCTCAGTCTCTGCTACCATCCACTCCACAAAACAGGATTCTGACAAATCAGCTTAAAATTCACCTCACTGATACTCCTACCTGTTGTACATGAGGCGCTTGAAGTCTTGAAATAAAGTGTCCTTGTTTTTGTCAATAAATCCAGTGACTGAGTAGCTAAAAAAAAAAAAAAAAGGAAAATGGAGTTAATTGCAAAGCAGCAAAGCCCTCCTGTGAACTGCTGGTTTCTGGGTGCAATCAGCATCCCTGGACTCCCACAGACACTGCAGATCCCTGGTTCAGGAAGGTGTTTGAGCTGTGCAGGTAAAGGCTGAGACACCTCCCAGGGCTTGGGCAGGTCGTAGGTGGCCAAAATTCAAGAGTTACATTCAGAATTTCTGCCCCCAAACCGAGTGTTTGAGCTAAATCCTAAGGAAATTAAAGGTTTGTTTTCAGTATGTCTAATCAGCTCCTCTCTTGGTGCCAGGGAAGATCCTCTGGTAGGAGAGGGCCCGAAATCAGGAGCAGCCTATAACCAGTGACTGGGGAACTCTCCTGGAAATCAAGACATGCACATGCATTTTGGACTCCTCTCCATTTTTATTCCCACAGAAACATCACTGGATGTTTCTGGAACATCACTGCTTGAGAGTTTTATCTCTTCTCCAAGACTCAAGTGCTCTGTCCTCAAGGAAAAGGCCCAAAGTCTCCCCATCCGGTGACTCCCACTCGGTTCTTTCCTGAGCTCCAGATCCCACCTGGGAATCTGCCCCCAAACTGCAGCTCTGGGATGCAGAGCCCCACAGCATGCAAATCCCTGCAGGGAACCACTCTCAAACCATAAAATCATGGGATGGTTTGGGTTGGAAGGGACCTCCAAGCCCATCCTGCCATGGGCAGGGACACCTTCCACCAGCACAGATTGCTCCAACCTGGCCTTGGACACTTCCAGGGATCCAGGGGCAGCCACGGCTTCTCTGGGCAACCTGTGCCAGGGCCTGCCCACCCTCAAACCTCCAATATGAACACACTGGTTACTCTTCTAAATTGAAGGTAAATTTTATCCCAAGTTGAAAGAAATCCTGAGTTATTCCCTCAGTAACTCCCTGCAGATTCTGCTGTCACAGGAAATTGCACCAATCCCAAAGCGTTGAACGACTCCAGTGATATTCCAGACAACAGCTTTCCCAGGCAACGTGTGCACCTTTCACTTCCACTTACTGCTCCTTCCCACTGCTCCCACCTCCTGCACACGTTCCTGACTTCCCACCCCTCCTGCAGGTTAAACCCCCCCCATGCTCTGAGCTCACACTGATTGAGAATTTAAAGCCAGAGTTACATAATCACTCTAACCAGATGTCTAAAGCAGATTTTATTAGCTCAGTGTAGCTTCCTTGCATAAACACTGCTGCCTTTTTTTCCCTCCTTTTTTTCCCCTGGAGCTCAGCTCTCCCCTCACCCTTCCTTTTGTCTCCTTCCAAGCACAACCCCCCCCCACCCCACTCTGGAGAGCAGCAGATTTAATTGATAAGCTAGTGCTGTACACTGTAATTGTGGGTGACAGAGCTCTGGCTGGCAGCAGTAAATCAGAATATTGTACCACTCCAGAGCTGGGGAAGGGATAGAAACAGAAGGTGCAACTTTATCTGTGCCACAGACTCACATCACATCCCCAGCGTAGTGTTTGATCCGGAAGTCCCTGTCGAACTCCAGCGTCTTGTCCGTGGCACAAAGCTGCAAGAAATCCACACCCATTAAATCATCACCCCTGGATGGATGGGAAAGCATCAGGCCCGGATTTACAGGCTTCATTGGGAAAGAGCAAGCCTTCAAAATAGCACTGGAAACTCTTAATTATTCCACTTCACGTATGCACGTGCAGATGTGAAATCCAGTTAAATACTGATCATATCTTTTCATACCACGGGAACATAAATCTGTACCAAACCAAGCTGTGGTTTTATTCAAAAATTGGTATGACCTCAGAAACACCATTATGCAGGAAGAACACTTGTGCCTGGAGAGAAACATTGCACCCACGAGTTCATTCGTGACTCTCTTCAAGTCTGCCTTTCTGTTTCTCCCATTGCTGTGTCACTGCTCGGCAGAGAAATGAGCCAATTAAAATGTGACAGCTACAGCAGCAGGGTTTGTTCTGTCCCACAGCACTCCTGGTCATCTGACACCCTCCCAAACAGGGACCCCCCCTGCTGATCCCACCACTCCAGCTCAAATTCCCATCCCATCCCTTCTGTAAGGGATGTCCAGTGGCAGCTGCTCAGCAGCACTGGCTGTAATAAACTCATCCCTTCAGGAATAGCAGAAGCCAAAAAAAAAAAAAAATAAATCCATCAGGTTCAGCTTAATTAAAAAAGGAGAATGAGATAAAAAATGAGCACTTTTGTTACAGGCAAAAGGGGCAGGAGATGAATTCAGTCTTTGCAGGCAGCACAGGCACCATTGAACAACACTGAGGGCTGTGAGCAGGATCTGCAATCCCCCCCAAAGCCTTGGGAAAATGAAGAATTTAGCATGGTCAAAGTGCAGGGCAGGAGAGGTGATTTGGGAGCAGGATGACACCCTCGAAAAATTCACCCCTGTCCAAGAGGAGAAAACAGAGTGGCTCAAACTGACAGAATGGATGAAAAAAAATAAAACAGAATATATTTTACAAATAATAAAAAAAAATCAGCCACAAGGAGGAACCCAAGCAGTGTGAGCTCCAAGGTCCCCAGCAGGCTCCAGAGGTGTGGGAAGTGCAGCCCAGCAGGAGGGGGGAGAGCTGATGGATGACCAAGGTGCAGCAGAACACAGAGAAAATGAAGAAATGAGGCAATGGCAGGAAAACAAAGTCATTTTTCTGTCTGCAGCTGTGTTCCCAGCACGCGGCTGGGGAGGGTGGAAGGCCCTTTTTTCTGCCACCCAAACACACAGCTCAAAGCAACAAGTCAATAAAAGAGGTATAAAGCAAATGACAAAGGAAATGTGTCTGTGCAACCAGACAGGGCACAGTTGGCAGCACAAGCTCCTCCTAAAAACTCATCCAGCTCTGGAGAGAGGGACTGGGAGCTGCTGTAACATGGATCAGTGGTTTTGTTGTTTGTTGGTTCGGGTTTTGTTTTTCTGAAAAGTGACTCTGTCCAAACTTTGTGTCTACTGAGCAAATCTGCTGCCCAAAAAAAAGAAGAGCAGCAGGTCTCTGAACACAGTGGGTCATCACACAAGTACCTGAAACACCCTCCACCTCAAAAATGACACTGGAAAACTGGGAAGGGCTTGCTGAAGGGCAGAACCAACCAAAACTACTGCCTGACTGCCATGGTAGGACAGGCCAAGGAACTCAGCCCCTGCAGGTTAAGAAACGCATGCCCAGAGACAATGGAAAATCACGGGGAGATGATGTGGAACACGTTTTGCCATTTGAACACCAGGAGGTGAGAGGTGGAAACCAAAAGGGAAAAGGGAGGAGAGAGGAAAACAGGAAGGAAGAAGCACTCCATGTGTGTATCTAGGCCATAAAATTCTTTGACAGTTAAAAAAAACAAACCAAAACCCTGATTTATTAAGGACACCAGCAGTGATTCAGGAGCTTCCTGAGCTGCAGATCACTGGAAAGTGGGAGTGTATCATGTTATCGTTACACATCTGTCCCATGTGGATCTCTCTCCTACTTCCAAGACCCTCCTGCCTGCTGGCTTGGAAGACACAAGATCAGCTGGACCAGCATACTGTGACTGATGCCCTTCCCCTCACAACCAGTTTGTTGAGACTGATGTTCTCCACACTTTGAATATTCAGGCACTCATGGACAATCACCGCCCTCGATCCTTCCAGACTGTAACACCAACAGAAAAGAATCAGAAACTTGAAAAGGCCGAGAAAACAAACAGGGATGTTGAGAAGTGCCATGAGAGCAGAGAGTCAGACAGCTCCCAGAAGGACAACCCCTGCTCCAGGAACACAACACTTTGCCACAAACACCCCTCGTGTGGAAGTGTTCCCCAGTGTTCCCTGGGATCGTTTGGCCTTCACCAGGACAACCAAGGAGGCAGCTGGGACCAGCCAGGCAGGGCTCAAACTGGGCCAGGACTATTTAGGGCACAGCAGCCCCCTAGAGCTCATCCCCAGGGAGCCAGAGTGCAGCACGATCTGCAGGGCAGCGGTGGAGATGAGCTGGGGCTGAGGGTGGGAGCTGCTCCCGGCACTCTTTAGGAACAGCCTCCACACCCCCACGGAACCTCTCGGTGTCTGCAGGGACCCACTGCGCCTGCAAAGGCAAATCCTGACGCCAAATCCAGCCCTCCGTCGTAATCCAAGGTGGAAGAGGCTGGTTTGGGAAAGCTCAGGCTTCCTCCAGCAGTTCTGGGTGGGAAGGGAGCTGAGGTGCTGGTAAAGGACGACTGCAGAGACGTGAGGGGGAGGAAAAGTAATAATTAAGCTGAGAGGTTTATGGGTCAATGTTTTCAAGGCTCTATTGATTTAGCTAGAAATCAGCAAGCCAGGCAGATCCATCAGCCCCTCTATGAGCATTATTTATAGCAGGATTCCTTGTTTCCCCCTCAGACAGTTCCTGACCACGCCACCTCCTGCCGAGCGACGCTGCAGCTGCAACCTCGTCCTTTAATGTCTCCTTGCTGGGAAGGGACTCCTGAAGGGAGGGACTCGACCAGATTTGACTTTTAACGTTTCATTTTACAGCCTCCCAGACACTTCACGAAATTCCAGCCCCTCCTGCCGCTGCACTGAAGGACCATCTGCTCCCTCCATGGTAGAACCCCTTCCCCTGAGACCAAGGACAGGACAGCAACCCAACTCCTCTCTCCACCAGCTCCTTTCTCCACATCCACGGACCTGAGGCTCCACAAGCTGGACCATTCCCACCCCAGCCCACAGACTCCATCCCCCCTGGATGGGTCCCACTGCTCCCAAGCACTCAAGGACGCAGTTTGCATTCAAACAGGGACCCAGCCTGGGCCTCACCAGCACACTTTGTTTCTCAGGTGAGTTTTCTCAGGACATGTCACTGCTAAATCTGGGTCAGCCCTGGAACCAGGACCCCTGCTGGCCCCCCCTCAGCTCGGTGCACGTGGCAGGTGAGGTGTCAGGTGTGCTGCAGCCACGGGGCACTTGAGGAGAGGCACATCTGGGAGGAGAGAGCAGCTCTGGTTTGTTTTCATCCTGGCCTCTCCCCAGCCAGCCCCAGCCAGATGCATTGTTTACCCTGGCTCCCCCGAGGCAGCCTTTAGCACATATCTTACACAACCAGGCTAATTTGGTATTTCTGACCTACATAAAATGTTGTGCTGGGGTGGGAGGGAGCAGGGGGGAACCAGCACTCACAAAAGCATTTCAGACAGCGCTTCTGAGAGGAGAGACATCAATAAATTAAAGGCCCTTATTTGATTACTCAGTGTGAAAGATTCTCAAATTAATCAGGCTGGTGACCATTTTGCAATCTGCTGCCAAGTGAGGAATAAATGAAGCCTTTTAATTCGCCCATTGTAGCCCAGACAAAGCCAGGCAAGGGGGGCCTGGGTGCTCCGAGATGTACAGGGGGGGAGATGAGCACGTTGTGCAGCCAATGATGAGGGGAAGAACCCCCAGCACTCCTGTGATAAACCAGGAGTGTGAATAATTCCACTGTCACTGCGCGTTAGAGCAGCCTGGGCAGAGCAGCACGTGGGCTGGAGCGGAGCATCGATTGGTCACAGATGACATCATGATCTGTCAAGGCACGAGCTCAGGCTCCTTTTTATCCCGGAATAAAAGGGATGTGCCATCGGACGTGCTGGAGCTCCCTCTGCCGAGCGCTGCGGCTGCTCCGGCCACCTCATTTCACACTCGGTCGCGACGATTCCAACCCCAGCCACCCCTCAGGAGCCTCTCTGCTTGTTCCACCAGAGCATGGGGAAGGTGAAAGGAAGGCGTGAGGGTGCAGGAGGGGGTACCTTTCTGCTGGAGAAGTGGGCGTGCTTCCCCAGCTTGCTGTTGAGAGCCTCCAGGAACATCTCGTCCGTGACCTTGCCCACGTTCATGCAGGCGTCGTCCAGGATGGCAATGATCCCTTTGTGCTGCTGCTCCACCAGGTCCACGATGACCTGGTTGTTGAAGTAATCAATCTGCAGGGAACACAGAACGGGGGTGCTGGTGACTTTGGCTGGAGAAAAGGGAGGGGTCCCAGTGCTCACACTGAACGTGAGGCCCACCACGCCCAGGAGAAGCAATCAGCTCCGAGTCTGCAGATCCCCAATTCCAAATCGAACAGGTTACCCTTTACCCCTTTACAGCAGAGAAAATGATCCTTCAAACCCCTCAGACACAAACCTCTGCCACAGAACGCGCTTTAAAATGCTTTTTGAAATTCAGCTGTGTGCAGTCACCACAGTGACACTGCACATCCTGTCCTTGGCATCCTGAAGGGAATTTGAACAGGGAAAGTCAAGATTTTTACATGTTGATATCAACAACTAGACCAAATACAGAAGCATTTAGAACAGAAACACAGAGTGATGTGTGTGGCATCACAGAGATGCCACAGTAGGTTTTATCTCAGACCTGGAGTCCCTTATTGTCCCGTGTTTGAGGTGACTGGTTGGCTCCTGCCCCAGCCTGACGTGACAGCACGTCTGCCAGGACAGCTGGCAGGGACACAGATGTCCCATCGACTGCAGCAGGGACGTGCATGTGGAGCAGCCTCGGAGCTGGGCCTTGTGCTGGTCCACTGACCTCACCCCGACCCCTCCCTGCCCTGCCAGAGCACTCACATGCTTCCAGGGAATTCCCTCTCGCTGGTATTCCTCCTGCTCCTGCTTCAGGACCAGCTGAATGAAGAGCTGCTGCAGCTTCTCGTTGCAGTAGTTGATGCAAAACTGCTCGAAGCTGCAAGAACAGACCGAAAGGAAAGGTGATGAGTTTCCTGGGAGAAAGGAGAAGGCTCAACACTGGGCTTGGACAAGGTGGTTCACCTGTTATTATCGAAGATCTCGAAGCCGTAGATGTCCAGCACCCCAATGACCGTGTTTTTGCCGTGCACTGTGGTGTCGTAGTTCTTCACTTCGATCACGTCGTTGATGTGTGTCACGATCCAGCAGAAGAGACGCTCGTAGATGGCCTGCAGGAGACACACAGCTCATTCCTGCCCTGCCCCCAGCACAGCTACAGACAACAACCTGCCAAAAGGGAGCAGCTACTCAGCTGAAGAAAATATTCTATGGAAATAGTTCTTGTCTTTCTTCCTGAATTCATTCATGCAGAGTCGAAATCCCAGTGAGGTCACCGGGTACAGCAGTTCCCTAATTTGATCCCAGTTGGCTTTTCAGCTGCCTAATGACTTCCACTCCTGAGAGTTATTTAACAAGAGTGAAGAAGAGCCAAGTGAAAGGTCAGGCGTAGAAACCTAACAACTGAACACAACGGCAGGAAAATATCCCAGTGCACCTTTCAAACAGAAAATGTTCTGCAGGCAGAGCCTTCAAAGTCTGCCTGTGCCAAATGGACTGTGAGGCTGGGCAAGCATATTGTATCAGGAAAAGGAGTCAGGTTAATAATCAAGGATCTTCCTAACTTCACTTCTTCTTCCCTTATCATTCGATTTCTTAGCAGAGGAGGGACAAGTGTCACTCCTGCCATCACCACCCACCTTTCTGGTGGAAGGTGTCCCTGCCCATGGCAGGGGGTTGGACTTAGATGGTCTTTAAGGTCCTTTTCAACCCAAACCATTCTGGGGTTATTTAAAAAAAAAGACAAAAACAACCAAACATGACAACACTTCAGGTTTCCAACCTGTGTCCTAGATATTGCAGTTCCACTCTCTACTCTTGGAATTTAACTGCTAAATTAATTGTATTTCACAAAATATCCCACCCTGTACAACACATTCCCTTTGCAGATGCCGGCCTGGCCTGCAGCCCCTGCCCTCCTGTGGGTGCTGGATCCCTGCTGGAAGGGCAGGGATGGGGCTGTGCCACAACCCCCCCCAGAACACAGGAGTGTGCACATCCAGAAACAAACCCACACGATGCCCAGCAAGCACTGTGCTCACTGGTCCACCCTGGAATGCTGCTGAGCACTGAACCCTGGGCAGTTCTGACAGCAGTTCCACACTGAACACTTTCCTGGGGCATCCCTGTTCTTTGCTGCACCGAGTGCAACTTGACCAAACTGTAAAATGTGAGTCCTTTTGGCTTTCTGGCCCAGAAAGCAGCTCAGCTTCTCCATCGTGAAGCACAGGACGCCTGACACTGGTGACAGATCAAATATCTACACCTGCCATCATCAACGAATCATTGTACCGCTTTTTACAATGTCATGAACACCAGAATGTTTAAATGCAGGGTGAACAACTCCACTTGTGCCTCTTAAGCAGCACACAAGTGGATTTTTCCCTGCGATCCCAAGCGTTGCCTTCCAGGGCCAACAACTCAACCACGGGGGAAACGTGTGCGAGTCACCATCACCCTCCCAGAGCCGGGTACGGGGACAGGGAGCTGGGACTCACCTTGGCAAAGGCATCCCTGCCATAGGTGGCCTCCTGCTCCGTGTGCTGCTTGTCGATGACGTCCCTGCCCGTGGCCACCGTGCGGAACAGCAGGGCCTTCTCCACCAGGTCGGCCTTGGTGGAGAGCAGGTCAGCGATGGTGGACACCAGCTTCCCGTTCTCGATCATGGGCGTGTCCCCATCCACCGAAAACTTCAAGTTCCCCTGCAACAAGCAGCCAGGAGGTGGATTTCTCAATGTCCCCTTTGCCAGGCAGCCAGCCCCCTGCCCTCACTAGAAGGGTGGGCCTTGCATATCCACACGCTCCCAAAGCTCCAGCACCACTGAAAGCAGCAAAGCCTGGCCCAGAGCAAAGCATCCCTGCTCAGTCCTCAGTCCAGCTCTTGGGGAAAAAAAAAAAATCACATCAAACACCCCCTGAGATTTAATCAAACACCATCTCGAGACTGAGAGGCCAGGGGTGGGAAATGACACTGTGGATATAAACACGGGATGTGCCTGCTCACCACAGAACCACTGGCTGCAGTTCTCCTGCCCACAGAGGGAATGGGAATGCCCTGGGGAAGTTGGCAGGTCAGTGCCACTGGGACTGGACTGGCTGCACTGCACCCCCACAGCCTGCTCAGGGACACCTGCCCTGCCAGGGTGATCCCCAGGACTGGGTGGTCTCCCACCCTGCCTGCACAGTCCCACTCTGCTCTGCCAGCTATCCCAGCTATCCCAAGGAGGAGAAGGAGCTGGAGCAAAGCTGCAGTGATCCCTGCCACCCTCCTCCTGCCTCTCTCCTCAGGGAAACACAGGGACACTGCGCAGGGGAGGAGGCTCTGTGGGTCCCAGGAGAACCCAGGGCATTCCAGGGTTTCCTTGGCCTCAGAACATGGAAAACTAAGAGGTCTCCTGTGTGCCCTGTGCTCAAGCCTCCACCATGCGGGGAGGCACTGCCCCTCCAGCAGAACCACCACGGTGAGGGCAAAAGGGGACACAAGTTCCCCACCCCCTCACTGCCAACCCCCAGAAATTCCTTTTTCAGAACATTTAACAGCTCCCAGCAGTTAGTGGCGTGTCTGGTTTGGGATCTGGAACATGCAGGAACACACGTGATCTTCCACCCTCACAGTGTCCTGTTTCAGCCAGGAGTTTCCCCTCACCACTGGGACTTGTGAGCTGTGCACACTCTCTCCCAGCCAACAGGCCTTCCAACTGCTCCTGCAGCAGGAAAACTGGAGCTGCTGGCAGCCCAGGAACAGCCCAGGGACACAGCCAGGAGCAGGGATCTTACCAGGTGGAGAATGGCTGCCACGATTTTGTAGACAGTCTGGATCTCCTCTTGCTTGAAGCCAATCACCTTCATGGCATCAGCGACAGCTTTGAACTCGGCACCATCATTGATGGAGCACTGAGGGCAAAGGGAAGTTTGGGACAGGATGGATTTAATGGAATTCAGCAAAAAGATTTCCCAAGCCCACGGGAAACAGATATGTACCCTGACGTTTTTCAGATGCAAGGCACTGTCATGAGGTTTCCCAGTTTATTCCACTGCCATCTCACATGCTTGGGCACTGAACCCTGCACTGCACACACGTGTTCTGGCAGATAAGATACAGAAATCCACCACAGCACAACACATTTCCCAGTGGAATTCAGTGAGGAGGAGGAGAAGCGGTTCATAAAAGCACCCAGAGCAGCAGTGACAAGCTGTGCCCTCACAGATCCTCCAGGCAGGAGCTGCAGAGCACCAGCAGGAAACCTCTGGTCTCCACCTTCCTCTAGATAAGCCTCTGCCTCCCTCCTTCCCAACCTCTGGGTTTGTTTTCCCTGTAGATTTCTAGAGAAGCTGATCAGGCATCTGTTGGTCTGTGGGTTTCTGTGTCAAAGAGCATCTCACAAAAGCAAACTGGGACATCAGAGAGCCTTTTGTTTGGACTCTGCTTCCCAGGGACAACACTGGGGACAACTCCAGATGCATCTGAATGTGTGGTGAGCAGCATCTCTGCAGTCCTGCCATGCAGCCTGACCTTGCTGTCTTTTCCTTCCTAATTTCCAGAAGGAGATCCCTGTTCAGTCAAGTTCAATCAGTTGACTGATTGACTTCTGGAATTGTCTCCTCCGGTGCTCTGAAAAGACACCTCCCAAAAAGTGTCTGGTATTTATGGGCCTCAACACTCTTGAAAACAGATTCCCAGGGAACCTCATTAAATAGTTCCTGAGAATCCCGTGGCCTGCTCTCCCAAAATCCAGGGCAGTGCCCCTGCTGAAAGCTTTTTTCATTTCACCAAAGGTTTAAAATGCAATCTTTTCGTGATCACTCCGGCCAAGACAGGCACCAATCGTCACACTCCCTCCATTCTATTTACCCAGGAGGTGCCTTTCCTACTTGGCTTATTTTTTGCCTGTAGCAAGAAATTATCTTCAACTTGTTTCAGCAGTTTTCTGAACCATTTAATGCCTGCTGTGTGAGAGCCCCACCTAACAAGCTGAAGTCAAGGGTTCAGCGTGCTGTTGTCCTAAAAACCTCATGGGTTTGTTCCCTTCTTTCCTTGAGGCCATGCAGACTGAATTCTTCAGTAACTTAAATGGTCCTACTGTAAAGAAACGAGTCCTTATGGCTTTTTGGTCCAGGAATGTCTGTCACAGGTAGCGGGTCAAATATCTACACCTGCCTCAATTAACACAGAATTTTACTGCTTTTTTATAATGTAATGAGTATTATAATGTTTAAATGCATTGTATACACACAAGCTTATTTTTTCCTGTGATTCTAAGCACACGTGTGCTTTGTCTCCAAGGGCCAGAAACTCCACTAAAAATAAACCACCAGTGCTACCTTTCCATGTTCATCCCATAAATATTGGTCTCAGCTTCTGCTGGCTCAGCAGTGCTTTCAGCATGTCAAGGAGCAGTTTTAAAGCTGCCTCTAAGCCAGGCTCACCTTGATCTGTGCCCCAGGGCAGATGTAGCTGTAGGCTGATGCGTCCTTCTGAAGGTGCAGAGAACGTAAGAGCTGGTCAGAACCCCCCTGCAGGAGCTGCACAAAGAGGGGGTTAAGAAATGGTGAATGAAAAACAGGAAATCCATCCTTTTTTTTCTGGTTCTTATTCAGCTGCTTGACAAGCACAGTCACGAAAATATTAATTACTGCTCCAGGATCTGGAGGCAGGAGCAGAACTCGTGTGGGATGCACGGCGTGGGATGGTGGTTGACCAAATCACTGTCCTTCTGAGTCACAACTGTTTAAAAAAAAAAAAACCAGCCTGAAGCTCCTCACAGACCAGCCCTGTTTACATCTGTGACGTGCCACAGCTGTGTCCTGGCAACCACATTTCCCTTTGCTGCTCTGCACAGAGACTTCTCCATATGGAAATGACCTGTCCGTGAGAAAAGTGCTAACATGCCATCATGGAACACTGAATAAGTGGGGAAAAAAAATAAACAAACCTGTGTTTCCCTCTCTGCTAAGCTGAGAAACAAGGTTATACTAACAGGCCAACCATATCCCTCCTCAGGACACCCAGGGAACCACTGAACAATGTGGAAGACATTAAAAAGGACCTCCAAAAAAACCCAAGGAAGTCAACTTGGTGTCATAAAATTACTTCCATATGGACTAAAGGCCCTAAGAGAAAATAGAGGGGATTAGACTTGCTACAAATAAAACAGTGAGTCAAGGTCCAATGTCCTACCATATTTGTTTAGTCAGCCTCCTCTGGAGTTTATAAATGTGTTAATAAGGGACTGGAGGATGGAAAACAATCAATTTTCCCAGGCTCCTTCCCAGCACAAAGAGCTGAAGAACCCAAAGATCACCCAAGATGCTGCAACGAGGGAACCCTCTTGAAAAACACACGAGAGGGGTGAGAGCTCTGGGCATTCTGGCCAGAGGGGATTTGGTGCAGCAAAGGGGATACAAACCTGGTAGAAGGAATGGAAGCTCCTTTCTCCGGGCTGCTGCACAATCACACGGGACTGGGGGAGACAAAACACAGGCGTGGGTGTTGTGGCTGTGCTGCCCCAGCTCCTCCCTCAGCCACTGCCAGGGCAGCCCCAACCCCAGCTCCCTGCTGTGAACACCCCTGCCCAGCAGTGGATGGGCAGCTCGAGGTCTGTGATCAGAAAGACCAGCTTGTTAAACAGCTGCAGTGTCCTGCTTTCCACCCAGGAGTCCCACGCGGCAGCCACAGGGCTCCTTGCATGGAAGAGTCAAATAAACATCATTTTAGTTTTAGTTTTTTAAATGAAATGAAAACCAGGGAAAAAATGAAATGAAAAGCAGGCCCAGTGACTGCTCAGGGGCTGATGGTGGTCAGCAATGCCACACTCCTGGGACAGGCTGATCCCAGCACACAGGGCATGCCCTGCTCTGACACAAGGGAAGCCACAGCTCCATTCCAGAGCTCTCCCTCCAAACCAGGGTAACACAGAACAAAGAGTTAAATGCACCAGACACTCGGTCAACAAGCCACAAATCCTTGTTTTATGCTACAAATTTGAACATAGGAGAGCGATGAGGCACAAAGCTGTGCCAGAGCAGGGTCAGGTTGGATCTCAGGGAAAGGTTCTTCCCCCAGAGGGTGGTTGGCACTGAACAGGCTCCCCAGGGCAGTGGGCACAGCCCCAAGGCTGCCAGAGCTCCAGGAGGGTTTGGACAACGCTCTGAGGAACAGGGGGGGATTGTTGGGGTGTCTGTGCAAGGACTGGATGGTCCTTGGGGGTCCCTTCCAGCTCAAGATACTCTGTAATTCCATAATTCCCTGTGTTCCTGCTGCAGTGCAAAGCCACTGTCTGTTCATGTTTGTGTTCAGGCCAGAGCCCTCAACTGCTTTCAAATGGAAACAAATTTAACTTGGGAGAAGGAGAGAATACCAAATAAACAATCAGGAGGAATAAATCATCAGGATTTAAGTCGCTGCAGCTGCCGTCCCAGCCCTTTTTCTGCATCAAAGTATCCCAAGTTAAATGTTTGGGTTTGTTGTTCTGTTGGCTTTTTTTTTTTTTTTAAATAAAGTGTTTATTCTGGAAACAGACTTCAGGGAAATAAAGGGAAGAGTAAAAAAAAAAAAAACACAAACAAAAAGCTGTTGGCAGATGTGGTCAAACACATAATTAAAGCCAGACATGTCTCACACAACAAGAGCTGTTAATAGCTCACACCCCTTTTCTCTACACTTTTACATATCCCAATGTTTTCAGACACCACTTAATGACATGAAAAAAATAATTATGCTCAGGATCACTCGGAATACATAAAAACAATGCTGCTAAAACACCACAGAAGGCTGTGGCTTCATTCCAAAATAACACTTCTCAAGCAGACTGTTGCTACTTGCAGCCCTGGAGATCTCCTCCTGATCCAGCAGGGAGATCTCAGAGCAGGGGACTCACAAAGGAGGAGTTGTGCAGATGATGGCAAATTGTATCCAGAATTAAAGCTGAGATTAAAGTTCACACACCCACATGCCCAGAAGTCCTTGAGTAATGGAGTCTCTCTTTCCTGGGGAGCTCTGGAAGCCCTGGTGTCCCAGGACAGGGCACTGCAGGGACTTTACTGACTCCTGAGGGAAAATTAAGCCCTGGATTTATCTCCCCTCACACCTCACCTGCCTGACCAGAAAACTCTCTGCTGGCAAAGCCCACACTGCAAAAGCAACTCCAGCAGAGGCTCTCAGCGGGCACTGAGGGGGCCTTACCTTTTCTAGCAGGTAATTATTGATGTGCCCACCTATTGGGTCCCCTTTAAAATCAAAGTTGATGTCCATGTATTTCCCGAAGCGGCTGGAGTTGTCGTTCCGGTTGGTCTTGGCGTTGCCAAAGGCCTCCAGCACGCAGTTGGATTTCAGCAGGATGTTCTTCACCCTGCAGGGCCCAGGGACGCAAGAGGGGACAGGGTAAGCGCAAGACCTGAACGCTCAAACCCAGGGAATCTGTTTCACCAGCATTTCTGGGGGAGAACTGAACCACAGAAGCGATGCTGTCTGATGGCACAGCCTGGCAGATGCGGGTGACAGCAGCAATCCCACGGGAAATCAGCTGGGAGCTGTCAGCAATGCCCCTCAGAGCCAGCAAAGGCTCTTTGGTTCAGAGACCCAACCCTGACTGAAAACGGCACCAAAACCACATCTCCTTTACATATTTCGGTTTTGAAACCAATTTATTGAGCTCTTTGGCAGAGTTTATTCGAGGTTGGTATTAAATCTGAGTCAGCAGAAAGGCACACTCTTTGTTCTAATACTTTTACTCCAGGACTAACAGGCACATTTTGCAAATCAGCAGCATGTGAGCCTGGAAGCTCATGGAATACACTCCCTGCACTCAACATGCTGTCCTGATGTACCCAGACCTCGGGCAATTTGCCCCAGGAAAAGTGATTTACAATCACTGGGAAAAGACCTCTAAGATCACGAGATGGTTGAAATTGCTTGGAAGGGACTCTAAATACTGGGGTTTTATTTAATTTTTCTGCGTGATTTTAGCAATTAATATTGCAAAATTCCCAGGGTAAAAGCAGTATCTGAAGAAGTCAGGGAACTGCTGTAAAAATCAGCATATACAAGAGACCCTCAGCTACAGAGCCCACAGAAGGAGATCCCCAAATTTTCCTTATTTGCCAGGCAAGGCCTTACCTCTCCACCTCAGCCCTCTGCCCAGGGTTGGTGATGGCTGCAATGTACTGCATGATGTATTTACTGGCCTCAGTTTTCCCAGCTCCACTTTCACCTGGGGGGGCAGAAACACCAGGGTGACCCAACAGATGAAAAGAGCAAAGCAAATCTCTGCACAGAAGATCCTAATTCCACTCCAGTAAGATCTAGGGGGGGGTTTGATTTGTTGTTTTAAAACCATCTTTGTGTGCACTCACTCGGGGCAATTGTGATGCGAGATTCCACAGGTCAGGAACGGGCCTGGCACCCAGAGGATCAAAGGAATATTGTTAGAGGAGAAAAGCCTGGCTGGGCAGGACAAGGGGCCACTGTTCAGCCCCCCAGCTCGGGGCTCTCGCCTTTCAGAGCTCGGGGACATCAAGGGAAGGGAGTGCCAGGATCCAGGCAGGGAACAAGCCCTGCTCCCACTGACAAAACCAGCTCAGGGGCAAAACCAGCAGCTCCTGAGGAGAGGCAGGCCCTGCCCTGCTGATCCCTGGGGTGGGATAAGGCTCCTGTTCCCGTTATCCCTCTGCAGGCACAGCCCCACTCCTGCCTGGCTGAATGACTGAACGAGGGAAGAAACAACTGCGACGTCTCCACACAGGCATTCAAACCCAAACGAGCCTTGAGGACTAATCAAACCCTCCTCCTCCTCCTCCCTCTGGCTGGGAATTTCCCCAGGATGACGTGCAGGCCCTCCCAGCTCACCTGAGATGACAATGCAGGTGTCCTTGGAGCGTCTCTTCATGGCCTTGTAGGCAGCGTCGGCGATGGCGAAGAGGTGGGGGGGCCTCTCGTAGAGCTCCCTGCCCTTGTACTGCTCGATGGTGTCCCGCCCGTAGATGTTCAGGTTCTTGTAGGGGTTCATGGAAACCACCACCTCCCCGATGAAGGTGTAAATCCTGCCCTTCTCAAACCTGCCCGGGGTGAGAGGAGACAGGGAGAAATGAGCACGGAGAAATGGGGAGGTTTGGAACGCGCCAAAGCAGCGAGCTCTGATCCATGGAAACACCACAACAGAACCCTGGCTAAGGACATTCCCTGTGCAGGGTGGCCTGGACGGCACAGAAAGTACAGAGAGATAGATCTGAGGACATTTCCACTGCTGTTTCACTCACAGGTGCACAATGTACAATTTACTGTCTCTACAACTGACAGTAATTAACACAAGCGCGAGGAGCAAGTAAAATCTGCTTCACGGAGGGGATTTAAAGGCAAACTCTTTTTTTCACATTCTGCAGTTGGCCAGAGAAGCTCCTCACTGAGAGAGGTCTGATCACACCTGGAAGAAAATAAACCAAGCCAAGGAGGGAACTGCAGCAATGAGCTCCCACTCCCATCCTTTACACTGGAAGGCACTTTGGTATCACCACTGCTGCTAAACCAGAGGGGAAAGATTCCTAAGAATGTGTAAAAACAACCCTAAACTGCACCTTTCCTAAGCCCTACCTGGCCCTTGGGATTCTTTCTGCAAACAAGACAGAAAATCACCGGAAGCTTGTTTATAAAAAGTGTTTTTAAGCTAAAAGCTGTTTCCAAGGAAAGCCACGTTTCATCAGCAGAGTTCAGAGGAATTCCAGGTTACCAGCAGGAGAATTTATACAGCTGTTGCTTCTCAGGAGGAGAAAGGGCGGCAGGAGATTTCGGGATCGACACCCAAACCACGGCATTTGGAGCACAACCACCCGTCTGCAGCTGCACTTAAACCTCACAACATTAGATGGCACCCGAACCCCTCCAATGGAGCCCAGGGGCCTCCAGTCCCTCCCGGACTCCGGCACAAATTCCAGCATTACTTTATTGAATTTATTACCACCCCCATGTGGTGACAGCCCTGACATTTTCTATTGTTCATCTGAGAATTTTCTGCAGCATCTTGGCAGTGTCAGTTTTTAGCAGGTGTAATAAAAACTCAAGAACTCTCATCCAGCAGCCAGCATTCCGCTTTCTGGGAGTGCTTGTGCCTCCAATTCCAGCTTCCTCCCAAAAATACTGCAATAAAAACACGCAGGAACTGCAAAATGTCCTTTTCTTCCTGCATTCAGTTTTCACTGAAACCGCCTTGACATACATTTCCCAAAACATTAATGACTTTAAAATGCAAAGATATTTGATGGTTTTGACATTATATGCTGTTTGAAAGCCAGCAAAAATGTTTTAGAAAATATAACCTTAAAATAATGAAATAATACACCTGATTTTACCTCTTAGAAGCACAAAGCAGGTGGGAATTGTGGGATTTGGAAGATCCCAAGGAGGCAGAAGGTGCAAAGGGATCAGATGCCAACCTCCTGCCCTCCCAGGAACCCTTGAGGGACTCTGCATATACATAGGAGAGCTTGAAAAACCAAACCCACACAACGCTGTTACTATTAAGGAGATCAAGTCACACATCAATATGTAATGGAAACCACTACAAGGACACCACAATCAGCAGAATCATCCCCTCTTTTGGGGCTGGACATCCAAAAAAGGTGAATTATTCAACGGAGAACACGCAGGGTGCTCTCCAGAAGGCCCTGCCCAGCAGCACATACCTGCTGCTCAAGGCACTAGTGATGATAAAAATAAAAGATACAGCAGTTTCTGGGTGAGTTTTTTGAAGCCCCACGGTGCTGCCACAAACAGGGGTGAGAGTTCACGGCCCCGGAGAGGGTCAAGGGCGGGGTGTTTCAGCTGCTGAGAAGAAATAAAGGCATAAAGGCCCATTGTGCCAAGTCACCATCCCAGCACCCAATACTCTGACCTCTCCCTTAATTAATGAATTATGTAAACTCGCAGTGGCAGAGCCCAGTTTAAGTTTCCTCCCGTGGCAGTTCGGTGTCCTCAACTGAATCCCAGAACCATGGAAGGTCCTGAGCTGGAAGGGACCCTCCAGTCAAGCCCTACAAGGTTTTGCTGAGCTCTGACAAGTTGTGTCCTCAACTCTGTGGCAAAAGGCAGGTGGAGGTGAGGGAGAAGAAGGATCCATCTCCAGGCCTGACAAACAGACACCTCTCCCAGCTTGGCTCTGGGGATTCAGCCTTTATGAACGACTGACACCCCCCATTTCACCTCTTGGTTCGTTTTTCTTCACACTTCTTAGCACTGGAGTTAAAACTGCAGAGCTGTGCTCAGATGTTCCCCACAGGAGCTGTGGCTCCTCGCCCCTCCTGGCTGATAAAGCCCCTTTTCATCCCTCCCAGCAGCTCAGGCCAAGAACAGCAGGGTCTGTTTTCCTGCTGGGAGCGCCGGGGTTTGCCTGGCCCAGGGAGGACTCGTGGAAACTTAAGAAAACAACCCACCAGAGAAGTGCAAAGGGGGGAGCACGAGCTGTGCTCCAGCCACTACCCCGCAGGGCAAGGTCACAAAACAGGACAACAAAGCTGTTTGGGGCTTTTTGGAAAGGCACTGCACCAGCTGGGGAGACTCATCTACACCACGGCCAGCTCAGCCATTTCAGGGCTGAGGGTCAGATGAAGAACTGGACTCCTTTTTTTTATTAAAAGGAACGGCAGCAAGTCTGATAAAAGGAACCCCAATAGCCACTCCTGGGGCAACACCCCCACGGTCAAACCTTGGTTTGTGTCTCCCGTGGAAATCACATCAGTTTGTGCTGCAACAAAACACGGCCCTGTAATGATTCCATTGGAATCATTTCTGTATCAATGCTGTGGAATCACAGAATACCCTCAGAGGGAAGGGAACTCCAAGGATCACCAAATCCAACCCCTGGCCCTGCACAGACACCCCAACAATCCCCCCCTGTCCCTCGGAGCGTTGTCCAAACCCTCCTGGAGCTCTGGCAGCCTTGGGGCTGTGCCCACTGCCCTGGGGAGCCTGTTCAGTGCCAACCACCCTCTGGGGAAAGAACCTTTCCCTGAGATCCACCCTGAGCCTGCCCTGACACAGCTCCAGCCATTCCCTGGGGGCTGTCCCTGCTCACCCAGAGCAGAGATTGGAGCTGCCCCTCAGGAAGAGCTGCAGACCCCACTAAGTCTCCCCTCAGTCTCCTCTCTCCATTAGCTCGGCAGCCAAAAAGAAAATTCAGAGCATTTACTCCCTGTGAGTTATTCTGAGGACCATCGGCTCTTTCATGAGAAGTTATTATATACTAGTTTTTATTACCTCATTAAAACATCAATTGATAACGAGAAAATAAAAAGCAGTGAGTCACAGACTGTAAATCACTGGAAGGGAGAGAAATTATTCTCTAGGAAAGAAGACCACTAAGGCAAGGGAAAGGCTCTTACTTTGTTTTGTAGTTTTTATGTTTAGGGAAGGGAGTTAAGTCCAGACACCCCGTGTTCACATCCAGTTCCCCCTGGAAAACACACTGCAGGAACGGCAACACCGGAGCAGAAATCTCCACCAGCAGAGAGCACTCAACATTTAGGATTTCCTCCACCTGACAAAACGCTCCAGTCAGAAATAAAACCGTTCTTACCGAGGAAATGATGCAACTTCAAATGCACTCAGTACAAATAAAGAAAAGAGTTAGCTGGCAGGGCTTGGAACCCACAGTCCCAAACAACATCTGCAGGACATGGACCGTTACACAAAGACACCCCGCCAGGCCCGGCTGCTCCACCACAGCTCATGGGGAGAGGGGACTTCTAATTAATCATTTACATGGCGCTCCTCCTGCCCAGAAGGCAAACAGGGCTGGGGCTGGCAGGCAGGACCTGCCCCTCCCTGACCCCTGTGCCAGGCTTTGCCCATCTGTTCCACGTCCCAGGGCAGAGCAACGGCTGCAAAATCCCGTCGAGCCACCAGTTGGCTCGATTGCTGCTGCTCTGAGAGAGCTGAAGTGAAGCTATTGGGATTATGGATCGTTTTCTACTGGATAAAGACCTTCTCCTGTCCAGAACTGCTCCTTTCTCACCACTGACACCCCAGTAGCAGGTGCTCTGTGAAGCTCCTTTTCAGCCCTTCCTGATGCTCCACAGATGCCCCAGAGCAGAAGCTGCTCCATCAGTCACAGCACAGCCATCCCCTGAGCACAGACTTTATCTGGGAGCAGCAGCTTAAAGTAAAGGAAATGTTAACCAAAAAACAAGGGAAAAGCAATTAATTCAGATGCACTGGTCCACAACTAACCCAGTCCCACTGAAGGCGAAGGGAATAAAAACTGATGGTTTCAAATATTCTGTATTTCCAGTTTATCTGCGAACCCCAAGGCACAAACTGAGATACTGAATATGAAATATTGAGTATGAGCACACGGATTTTTCCTCCTTCCTTCCTGTGCATGGGAAGAATAATAATCCAGCAGCTTCACACCTCTGGCACGCAGAGGAGGGGCAATTCCTTTCCCTGCTGGAAAGACCCCGTGGGATTTGGGTTACTCTCCCAAAGGGGGCAACAAGTCTTAGTTATTTTTTACCACCAAATGTACACATTAAACTCCAATCCTGCAGTCTCTGAGCCCATTCCCTTTGCAAACACACATGAAGATATTTAATTCAGCCTCGTGTTCGTGGACAGTCAAGGATGGGCCTTTAGGATGCGTTCACCAAGGAAGGGAATTCAAGCAGAACTTCTGGCATATTTACCTGGTTTTAAAGGCAAGAATGTGTACCCTGCACTCACACGAGGCAACAACCATTCTCCTCGTGCTTTGGGAGGCAAGTGACTGCTAAAAGCCACTTACCCTGTGTGCCTCAGGCACTTGTCCCTTTTCTGTGTGATACTGGGTCTCTGTGCTCCTTAAAGACTTTATTTTAGGTAAATCTCAAAATAAACTCAAGGCTGTCAAGCAGGACTTCAAGGCTTTCGGTAAATTGCTGGTGAAGCGTCTCACAGCGAACCAGCCCCCTCACAAGAGCGCTCAGATAAACAGGATTTGCGTTGGCAGAACTACTGCTAAAATATTCTTGCTGCTCTTGGAAAAAACAGCCCAAAAAACTGTCCAGTCAGTGCAACCTCCCTGCACCGG